TCAAAGAGGAATGCGATTGTGGTGAATACTGTATATCAGGATATACAAATGTAAGCTCTTCACATGTCTCGTGCTGTGATTTTACAATTTCTTTTCAGAATTCGGCTTTGGGTGTGACCTATTTGTGGAGTTGTGGATGTGGGTTGGATGTCGGGGATCTATGCCCGACAAACACAATGCTCGATGAGTATCAATGCTGCCAGGGAGAATTGTGTAATGCTGCTAATTGGACCGACCCTACGACAACGGTCTTTCCTTCAACATCACTGCTCACAACAACATCGATGGTTCAAACATCAACAAGCGTTGCACCAAATAGTCCCCTCACCTGTTGGTTTGATGTCAGTGAAGACACAACACACACGGATGAGGCGAGTTTTGGATAGATTTCTTAAAGCATTTCAAATCAATGAAAAATGTATTTTAGGCTGTTCAAGTCACATGCGAGTGTGGAGAGTACTGCATAACTGGAATCCGAAATGTAGATTTTTACCAGACTCACTTTTTATTTCAAAACTTAGGACTCATTCTTCGAAGAGCCTGTCTATTTCTGGGGATGTGGTTGTGAAATCGAGCTTCTAGGAGATCTTTGCCCGACAAATTTCATTCTAGACGAATATCAATGTTGCAAAGGAGACCTATGCAATTCAGCCGATTGGACAGAACCAACCGGAAGCCCTCCAACATGGCCTCCATCGAAGAGTAACATCACTTGTTGGGTGGATACCAATGATCAGCCATATCATACGGAAAATGTGAGCTACAGAACTAATATACATCCAGTTTTGTCGATACTGGTTTTAAAAAAGTTTTTAGAAATACAGGGTGGCGCGCAATTACGGAAATTGATATATTTCTGGTTTAATAACTACTGTTTGTTGTTAAGAATAATCTTAGGTAACAAATTTATTCTTTATATCCCAGAAAAAACAAGAAACCCTAGTTCTTTTCAAAAAGATCTCCTTTCGCTGCGATACATGTTTGGAGACAGCTCGGAATGGTATCAACGATGGCAGAAAGAAAGGCGACGTTACCGTTTGAAGAGAATTTTTCAAACAATCAATGGTTGTATGAGCTTTAAAGCATGGCCTCTAGAAAACTCCAAACACTGAAATCCAATTTGAAATCATTTGAAATCGAACGTCTTGAGATACCCATTTTTGAGGCTAATTTTCGTTCGGAATGGGCTCCTTTGTAGCGTGGGCTTTTGCACACTTTCTCCATCTCCTTTGTTGTCACTGTCGTCGTTGGGTCTCGTCCTGGCGACGGCGACGTAACCCTTTGAAAAGAATTTTTCAAAGAATCAATGGTTGAATGAGCTTTAGAGCATGCTTTTGGCTCTAGGACACTCAAAACACTCTAGGACCCTCCTCGTCCCAGTCGGAATTCGTTCCCAAGGCTTTGTAGCGTTGAGTTGTCTTTGAAACAACAAACTTAGCAACCATCAATCGACTGGCGATGCTTTTCTGTCTCATTCCCCGTTTCCATCGATCAATGATGATCGATCTGTGCTCCGATTTCTTCGTCATTCTAAAATTTCAAAAATAAAAGCAAATAAGATGTTGCCAAAATCTTAATTGCTAAGAAAAATAGATAAAACTGTCAAAAATTTGAGTACACACCCTTATAACCATTAAGAAGAAAGCGCCATTTCCGTTTCCGTAATTGCACGCCAACCTGTAGATACACTACTGGACAATGAAATATCATATTTGAAAAAACACTTTCGCACCTTCGCGCGTCTGTAACTCCCTTGTCTTTACCGTATTTCTAAATATTAATATTACCATTGTGTAGCCCTTGAAAAGAGCTTTCAGAAAATGTATAACACTAATAGTTTAAACTCAAAGACAAGGGAGTTACAGACGCGCGAAAGTGACGATCGTTTTTCAAATATGATATTTCATTGTCCAGTACTGTAGACTCGACAGGACTTTATGCCTAAAATAAAATAAAAGTTTCTATTTGTAACCAATCCATTCTTCAGGCACTAGAAGTGGAGTGTTATAGTGGCAATTACTGCATATCTATTTTCGTCGATGTGAGTTGTTTAGAATCCCTTCATTTGTAGATTCACAAATACACTTTTATAGTATCTCTTTGGCCAAGTTTACGCATGGGGATGTGGGACTGACTTTGCGGGCGAAGCTGAACTGTGTCCGACAAATGATATTTTCGACAACTATAAGTGTTGCACGAACGATTTGTGCAATGGCGATTGGTCTGATGCGACTACGACCTCTACTAGCACAACCACGACAACAATGCCCTCAACAACAACTGTTTCATCGAACCGAAATGTCACTTGTTGGTTTGATGTCAGTGAGGATCCGACACACACGGATGATGTGAGTTTCGAGATATTGGAATAAAAGCAGACTAAACTTAGAGGAAAAGAAAGTCGCGATTTTCAATCGACCGTTTTTCAAAGAGAACAGACATTAACTACTTGTATTTTAGGCTATTCAAGTCACATGCGAGTGCGGAGAGTACTGTATTATGGGAATTCGAAATGTGGGCTTTCCTTTTTATATGATCAATATACGTTTTAGGACTCATTTTTTGAGACAGAAGTCTATTTCTGGGGATGTGGATGTGAAGTGGAGATTCTCGGGGATATGTGTCCGACAAATTTTCTACTCGACGAATATCAATGTTGCAAAGGAGACCTATGCAATTCAGCCGATTGGACAGAACCGACTGGAAGTCCCCCGACGTGGCCTCCAACGGAAAGCAATATCACTTGCTGGGTTGATACAAATGAAGACCCATATCATACGGAAACTGTGAGTAAACAGATTTATTCTGTAAACAGATCAGTAAATTCTGCCTAAAATGGACATGGGCACTAAAAACTACAAACGTAAATTAAAAATGCTTATAACTTGCTTCAAATCTGCCGCATTGGCATGATCTATAGCTCAAAAAAATAGAGGACCTCAAGTGCTTTCGAATGGACTAAAGGATACCCAAAACTATCAATGCTAAAGAAAGTTACAGTGGTTTGTAGCCGACTCGATAGCTTCGACTACGAGCGAGTTTAAGTCGGCTACAAACCACTGTAACTTTCTTTAGCATCGATATTTTTGAGCATCCTTTAGTCCATTCGAAAGCTCTTGAGATTCTCTATTCTTAAAGCTATAGATATGGCAGATTTGAAGCAAGTTAGAAGCGTTTTTAGTATGACAGTTCGTCATTTTTGTAGCTCATAGTTCTTATGTCTAGCCTGAAATAGTTCCAATGAAAACAAATATAGGAAATGCTCTTTTATTGACCATTTTTTAGGCAATCAAAGTGGAATGTTTGAAAGGCGACTACTGTGTCTCTATCTTCGTGGACGTGATTTCAAATCTCTTACTCTTTTGACTATGATTGACGTTTAGTATTTTTTCGGTCAATTCTACATTTGGGGATGTGCCACCGATTACATTGAGGGCTACGGAGACGTTGATTTGTGCCCGACAAACGACTATTTTGACTCATACAAGTGTTGCACGGAGGATTTGTGCAATGGGGGAAATTGGACAGATTCAACAACGACAACAACGACAACAGCGACAACAACAATGCTCTCGACAACAATGCTCTCGACGACAACGACAACAACTCGAAATATTACCTGTTGGTTTGACGTCAGTGACAATCCAGCTCACACGCTTGACGTGGGTTTAACGACGGATTCGTAATTCAAAAGTAACAATTGGTCTTCTAGCAAAGAAGCTTGATTTTTAGACTGTTTTTAAAAGATAATATACAATATTTCAATATCGAACTCAAGACCAAATTTAATAATATTCAAATTCAGATGTAACTTATAAATGAATAAATATGTGTATCGTTTTTAGGCATTACAAATCGAATGCGAGTGCGGAGAGTACTGTATAAGCGGAATCCGAAAAAATGTTAGTCAAATTGATGTTCTTTTCAAAAAAAATCTATGTTTTAGGACTCATTGGCCGGTGAAGATGTCTACTTCTGGGGATGTGGATGTGAAGTGGAGATTCTCGGGGATATGTGTCCGACAAATTTTCTACTCGACGAATATCAATGTTGCAAAGGAGACCTATGCAATTCAGCCGATTGGACAGAACCGACTGGAAGTCCCCCGACATGGCCTCCATCGGAAAGCAATATCACTTGCTGGGTTGATACAAATGGAGACCCATATCATACGGAAAATGTGAGTAAACAGATTTGTTAATAATGAGTTTCGTTCAGTAAGTTCTGCCTAAAATGGACATGGACACTACAAACTACAAACGTAAACTAAAAACGCTTCTAACTTGCTTTAATCTGTCGTATTGGCATGATCTATAGCTCAAAAAATAGAGAATCTCAAGAGCTTTGGAATGGATCAAAGCACACCCAAAACTATCACTGCTAAAGAAAGTTACAGTGGTTTGTAGCCGACTTAAACTCGCTCGTAGTCGAAGCTATCGAGTCGGCTACAAACCACTGTAACTTTCTGTAGCATTGATAGTTTTGGGTATCCTTTAGTCCATTCGAAAGCTCTTGAGATTCTCTATTCTTAAAGCTATAGATATGGCAGATTTGAAGCAAGTTAGAAGCGTTTTTAGTATGACAGTTCGTCATTTTTGTAGCTCATAGTTCTTATGTCTAGCCTGAAATAGTTCCAATGAAAACCAATATAGGAGATGCTCTTTTACTGACCATCTTTTAGGCAATCAAAGTGGAATGTTTGAAAGGCGACTACTGTGTCTCTATCTTCGTTGACGTAATTTCAAATCTCTTAATCTTTTGACTATATGATTGACGTTTAGTATTTTTTCGGTCAATTCTACATTTGGGGATGTGCCACAGATTACATTGAGGGCTACGGAGACGTTGATTTGTGCCCGACAAACGACTATTTTGACTCATACAAGTGTTGCACGGAGGATTTGTGCAATGGGGGAAATTGGACAGATTCAACAACGACAACGACAACGACAACAATGCTCTCGACAACAATGCTCTCGACAACAATGCTCTCGACAACAATGCTCTCGACGACAACGACGACAACAACTCGAAATATTACCTGTTGGCTTGACGCCAGTGAGAATCCAGCTCACACGCTTGACGTGGGTTTAACGACGGATTCGTAATGAAAAGGAACAATTGGTCTTCTAGCAAAGAAGCTTGTTTTTCAGACTGTTTTTAAAAGATAATATACAATATTTCAATATCGAATTCAAGACCAAATTTAATAATATTCAAATTCAGATGTAACTTATAAATGGATAAAGATTTGTATCGTTTTTAGGCATTACAAATCGAATGCGAGTGCGGAGAGTACTGTATAAGCGGAATCCGAAAAAATGTTAGTCAAATTGATGTTCTTTTAAAAATAATCTGTTTTAGGACTCATTTTTCGGTGAAGATGTTTATTTCTGGGGATGTGGATGTGACGTGGAGATTCTCCAGGAGATGTGCCCGACAAACTTTCTATTTGATCAGTACCAATGTTGCAAAGGAGATCTATGCAATGCGGCCAATTGGACGGAAACGACTGGAAGTCCGCCAACATGGCCTCCGTCGGAAAGCAACATCACTTGCTGGCTTGATATCAACGATAAGCCATATCATACGGAAAATGTGAGCTACAGAACTAATATTTTTCTTCAACCGAGAGCTAAATTTTTATTTAACTGAGATTATCCTTAGCTAAAATCAAGCTATTGATCAAGCTATTCCACCCCCCAAAAAGAGGTTTTATGGCGAATGGGTGGAGATAGCTATTGGGTTGGTGAGTTGAAAACTGCCGGGCTTTGAACTAAAATTTATTCAACATAAAACCATGAATTGATTCCAAATAATTTCCATTATTATTGACGACTTCTGCCCATTTTACAGGCAATTTGCGGATTCCTCTGTCGTAGTAGGATTTTGGTTTGTGTGTGAGACTCAGAAATGGAGGACTGGAGATGTCCCAGTTTGAGCACTTTCTTCAAAAGAAACCCATTTTGGTGTCAATAGAGAAGTTGTAGAGAATTAAAAATTAGGCTTATAGCCAAATTTCCAAAAAGATACACTTAGTAGTTTCGCTTAAAATGCAAGTTTTGTGGAATTTCGTAAATTTGGCATTTCTTGAAAACTGGTTTTTGAATCGTTCTGAAAATTTGGATATAAGCTTCATTTTTGATTCTCTACAACTTTTCCATTGACACCAAAATGGGTTTCTTTTGAAGAAAGTGCTCAAACTGTCACATATGACAATAGCCCGCAGTTTTCAATTCATCAACCCAATATTTATAAAAAGCTATTATTCATTTTTAGGCCATCAAAGTGGAATGTTTCCGTGGCGACTATTGTGTGTCGGTCATGATCGACGTGAGTTTTGAATATTTTGAAATGACTATCGGACATTCTATACGCGCCACGCCCCTTTTGCCAGTAGCAATCTAACTTTGAACTTAAATATCTTGATGTTGGTCTCTCCAATTTAAATATTCTTGATATCATTAAATGCGCCAAGTCTTTCTCTGTCGATTGGTTTAAAAACTATTTAAACTGAACAGCCCAACACCAAGATATTTGAGCTCAAAGTTAGATTGCCAATGGCAAAGGAGGCGAGGCGCGTGCAAAAGGTCGCACAATCTCCTGACAGATGCTACATGATCACTTTCAGTACATCTTCGGACAAGCATATGCCTGGGGATGTGGCATTGATTTTGTCGTGGAAGAGGGAGAAGTCGATCTGTGCCCCACAAATGATATTTTCGATTCCTATGTGTGCTGCACGGAGGATTTGTGCAATGCAGGGAATTGGTCTGATGCGACGACAACGACTATCACCACAACAACAATGCTCTCAACGACGACTGTTTCGACAAAACGAAATATTACCTGTTGGCTTGATGCTAGCGAAGATCCAACTCATTCGGATGACGTGGGTTTGAGTTTCCTTATGTAAACTTTGCAGTTTACTGGTTCAAACTTTGAGAAGAGATTTTTAGGCAATACAATTTGAATGCGAGTGCGGAGAATATTGCATAATGGGAGTCCGAAATGTGAGCCAAAAACGAAGTTCTATCTGATTTCTGTTCTCTAGGATTCAGTCTTTGAAGAAAACGTCTATTTCTGGGGATGTGGATGTGAAGTGGAAATTCTTGGGGATCTATGTCCGACGAATTTCATTCTTGACGAATATCAATGTTGCAAAGGAGATCTATGCAATGCGGCCAATTGGACAGAACCGACCGGAAGTCCCCCAACATGGCCTCCATCCAGCAACATCACTTGCTGGCTTGACACCAATGATAAACCATATCATACTGACCTTGTAAGTTAAGGAATTTTTAGTTTACTCAGCCAAGGCGAAAATAGAAACCCGAATGATACTACCGTAAATACTCTACTAATGAAAAATCGGCTTTTCCTGCCACTTTTCAATCATTTTTTCTAAGCGCTGGTTAATGATTAAAATATGTGTTATATCTTAAAAAATCACCCATCCTCTCTACTTTAATTTGATATCTAAGCGCGCGCAGTAACAAACGTACTGGTACTGAGGTATGAGCATTTGTTTAAGAGTAAACTTAGACTACACGACGCTTCTATAGGTGGCTTCTATTAGAGTATTTACGGTAAGTATAAATTTTATAAAAGGTAACAAATAATTCTATATTAAATGCTCGTTTTATTCTCTATTTTTAGGCGATCAAAGTGGAATGTTTGCGTGGAGATTACTGTGTATCTATCTTCATTGATGTGAGTCACTTTTGCATAAAATAACGTTTAGTATTGACGTTTAGTATTTCTTCGGTAAAGCTTACGTTTGGGGATGTGGAATCGATTTTGTTGAGGGTTATGGCGAAGTGGATATGTGCCCTATAAACGACTATTTTGATTCATATGTGTGCTGCACGGAAGATTTGTGCAATGCAGGGAATTGGTCTGATACGACAACGACGACAACGACGACTACGACAACGACAACTACTACGTAAGCGATTAGTCGGAGGGGATCATTAAAAGGATTTCTTTTAAACGAATTGTTTTTTGCGGCATTGAATAGGCAATACAACTATTGATAAGAGCTAAACAATTGCCAATGAGTTTATAACCATTTAACCTTACTCCATACCTGTTTACTCACCAATCCTTTTTCTAAAATAATTAGACACAAAACTTTAACTGTAAACTGTAAATTGTAAATTCAAGAAGAAAAACCCCAAGAAGATCACGCCGTTTTAATTTGGTAGATTTTGTGCGTCTTAGTTGAAAGAGAATTGGTTAAGCTAAGTTTCGTTACAAGATTCGAAGACAATGGAGTAGAAAGGAGCCGAGAGAAACGAAACAAAACTATTTTAGAATTTTGAACAGAAAACATAAGCGGAACAATATAACAGGAAGATAAACTTAAAATGCGCTACAAAAGGAGGATAGATTTTAGGGGAAAAGAATGGCCAACCTTCCCAATTCCATCATGGAATTGGAAAATGAAAAGAATGCCAAATGGGAAATTTTTGTGCGCAAAACCGTAGCCCATCCACGCTTTAGAAAGCGCGCCGTGTCACTTTCGCGCAAGTTTCTTAAAACCATCTATCTAATGATTGTTTAACTAACTCGAAATCTAAATAACGACTAAAGCTCTTGAAGTAAGGAATCAGGTGAATAATAATTCAGGTGACAACTAGATTCGAGAAAACAAAGATTCAATCAATCTTGGGCTTGAATAACAAAGCTTGAGCAGAAAATAATTAAATGAATGAACTTTTTCTGTTTAGTTCCACAACGACGACAATAGCCTCTACAACGGCGCTTCAAACAACCACTCCAAATGGTCCCCTCACTTGTTGGATTGATGGTAACGATGAGCCTTATCACTCGGATGAAGTGGGTATTCAAAAGCATTCTTTGAGATAAAAGTTGGATCTAAAAAGCCAATGTTTTAAAGTTTTCTAACAAAAGACTCTGTTTCCTGAAAGGAAAACATCTTTTAGGCATTCCAAATTGAATGCGAATGCGGTGACTACTGTATAACTGGATTCCGAAATGTGAGTTTTGCTTCTTTTACTCTAGTGCTAACCCGGGCTTAATTGAGCTTTCATCAACGAATCTGGTTTCTTTTTAGGATTCAGTTCTCGAAGAGACAGGCTATTTCTGGGGATGTGGTTGTGATTCGCAAATTCTTGGAGATCTCTGTCCGACGAATTTGATCTTTAATGAATATTCTTGTTGCAAGGGAAATCTCTGTAATGCTGCTAATTGGACAGAACCGAGCGGAAGTCCCCCAACATGGCCTCCATCAAATAGTTCCATTACTTGTTGGCTTGATGTCAATTCTGATCCATCTCACACAGATGAGGTAAACTCTTGCACAAATTAGAATGATCATTAAAAAAGCATCGTATTATACAACTAACAGCTCATTCTCATCTCATTCAGATCAGGTGAGTTGGTGAAAACTAGGCTACTCATGAAAAGTCAGAAAAAGCAGCCTCTTTATAGCAGCCTAGCAGCCTAGCGGCGAGTTTTTCTGGCTGGATTTTTTGAGGCAAACGGATAGTCGCCGTAACGCAGTCGGTAGCGCGCTTGTCTACGGCCCGGACGGTTCAGGTTCGACCCACCGTAGTGCCACTCAATCTTGCTTTTTTATTCTTTTTATTTTAAATGTCACAACTACAATATATTCTAAGGTTTTCTAAAGCAGTTTTAACTTCATTGGTCAAAACACGGTCGAGAAAATGCCTGTACAGGCAGACAGACACTGCTTTTTATAAATAGTAGATTTGGCTAGCACTGAAAAGCTTCGTGCAGTGTTTCTTTCAAAGATGATCAAATTTAGAGCTTTAGTTTTTCTGGCCTGACATTGTCTCAGTCATCCGAAAGTTCATTTTATTTTCAGGCCTTGAAAGTGGAATGTTTCGCTGGCCACTACTGCATTGCTGGCTACACTGACGTAAGCTTTCACATCTCTTGCCAGAAAATATGGGCTTGCTTTCTAGTTTTCCTTCGGTACCATATACGTCTGGGGATGTGCTGTGGATCTTGATGATGAGCTAGATATGTGCCCAGATAACGATATTTTCGACACATACTATTGCTGTGAGGAGGATTTGTGCAATGGAAATTGGTCCGATATCGCGACGACTACAACTGTGTGAGTCAACTGATGAGAGCTACACCTTTGATCAGGAAATTTATCTAACCTATAAAATTTCGAGTCTGTCCGTTTTTCTGTCGAAGCTCTAGCGGGCGCAGAAGTGAGTTTTTGGGGAAACGGCTGAAATACGCGAAATACGAAGCGGCTCGCGCGGCGCGAAATCGCTAAGTGGTTAGAGTGCTGGCACTGCTAGAGTCCTAGATTGCTAGAGTGAGTCTAGGTCAAGAGTTCGAATCCGTGTCCCGTCAGACATTTTGCTTTTTCTACCAAAAGCTCAAATCTAATAGAAATAACCTTTTTAAGCAAAAAGGAGCGCCGGACTCGAATAGGCGTCGTGCCCAAACCACCAGGGGTAAAACCCGTCGTAGGCGGATTTCCCGCTCGTTGTTCATATTTCGACTTTGCAATTCTTTCTGTTAAGCAGATCCTTTTAGTCCAACAACTATTTCACCGGGTGGACCTCTCACTTGTTGGATCGATGCCAATGATGAGCCGTACCATTCACTAGATGTGAGTTCAGAGATGCAGATTTTTTAGGGAAATTTTTTAGGCAACGCAAATCGAATGTGAATGTGGAGATTTCTGTATCAGTGGAACCCGAAATGTGAGTTTCATATCGACACAGAGCACAAGAGCACAACTCTTTTAAGAGCACAACTTTCAAATCGTTTGGCCAGCTGAATTTCTTTATTTATTGAAAAAAGTTTTTCTTCAGCTTTAGATTAGAAAGATTTGCCCGAGATGCAATTCTAAATTGATTTTGCTCTCGGAAACAACTCGACTCTTTTACTCTTTTCAGGATTCAGTCCTTGGCGGTGAAGTATATTTCTGGGGTTGTGGCTGTGATACTGAGATTCTTGGAGATTTATGCCCAACAAATTTCATTTTGGACGAATACCAATGCTGTAAAGGAAACCTATGTAATGCTGGCAATTGGACAGAACCAACCGGAAGCCCTCCAACATGGCCTCCATCGAATAGTTCAATCACTTGTTGGGTTGATCTCAATTTTGATCCATCTCACACAGATGAGGTAAGCTCTTACACAGATTAGAACGATCTTATAAAAAAATCATCGTATTATGCAATTAACGGCTATCTCACTATCATTTGAGTTTTCAAATTTCTGCATTTCATGAGCCTTAAAGCCTAGCTACCGCAATTCTTCTATTAGAGACATGTCCTTCTATTTTTTAATACCTCCAAAAACTGTCGTTATATTCTATTGCTCTATTTTACAAAGCTCGATAAAAAGGCAGCGTTGTTTGATGCTACGTCTGCGTACTTAATTATTTGGTTGAAGCATCGAAAGCTCGACACTTTCTTTCCTTAGATATAGAAAGATCATTGCTAGCTGCATTTCTCCAGCGCCAGCCTTCTGTTCTTCATAAAAATTAACAAAATATCTTATTATCTGAGGCTTATGCTGAATATCTTCACTTCAATGGAAACCTTCTCGGTTAATCTCGACTTTTTGCGTCCCCTCGGTAAAGATACGGATAGTAAAGATTCAATAGAAAAAATAGGAAAGAAAAAGAATTTTTGCTATGCGCTTTGAAAAAAATGTTAGGTATTTTAAAAAGGGTGTCGTTCTAATAGAAGAATAGTAGTTTAATATCCAAAATAGCATGTGGAAAGTTTTTTGGGCTAACCTTAAAGAGCTTTTCCTTCTTTTTTTCGGTTCTTGTGAGGTTTAGGGGGCGCAAAGAGTCGCGATTAACCGAGGGGGTTTCCAATTGAAGTGAGGATATTTAGCATGAGCCTCAGATAATAAGAGATTTTGTTAATGCTTATCAAGAACAAAAAGGCTAACGATTTCTTAAAGTTTTCACTAGTTTCATTTTTCAAGTCAAAAACGAAAGGCTTTCAAAAAATGCTCTAAATCTTACAAGCACCAAACGCTCAGAACTAATTGGATTATAAAGCAAAAGCACTCAACCAATTAAAGCTTTTAGGCCGTTAAAGTTGAATGTTTCGCTGGCGACTCTTGTGTGATTGGCCACCTGAACGTGAGTTGCGAATCGAATTCACCTTCGATATTTTGATGCTGGCTTTAGTTTTTCGACGACATCTACTTTTGGGGATGTGCCACGAATCTAGACGATGATCTGGAACTGTGCCCAACGAACGATATTTTCGATTCCTACACTTGCTGCAAGGAGGATTTGTGTAATTGGAATGTGACGGAGAGTACAACCACAACGACTACAACTACTACAACCACCACCACTATGAAATCTAGGTAAATGGCTTGTGATAAACAAATCTAAACCCATTTTTTTCCAACTACGGTAGCTTATCCACAGCCTAACTTAGACTGAATAGCTTTTTGGTGACATTCGTAGAGATCATTAAATCTTCAAGAATGTGCGCATTTAGCTCATTTTTCTAATAAAACTCTTGAAGTTACTTGGCTAGTTTTTATTTAATATTTCTGAAGCAAAAGGAATATGCTTATTTATGATTGTTACCTTCAAAAATAATTAGAAAGATTGAAAGACTATATGCAATTTTCCAACCGTAATATATTTCTTCCCATTTAGCACAACTGCCACAAAAACGACAACCCCAAGCCTTACCAGTACCACTTATTCGACAACAACTACAACAACTAAAACAATGACGACGACAAAAGCCCATACAACAACCACAACAAGCCACAAGCCGACTACATCAGCAATCATCACAAAAGCACCGCCCGTAACGTCGACCGAAGCCACCATCACAACAACGGTATGAATTTTTCGAAAGGTTCGCTCAATTCGAGCTGTGTCAAGCAAGATTATTTACGATATAAAACACACAATACTAGGCTATATCTTAACTTAACCCACGCCATGACAGGCGGCTCCCTAACCATAAGCTTAGTGGGAAACTAAATAGCTTTTTCTGGTGGTGGAGAGAAGATGACAATGAAGGAGTGGCTTGTCACTTTAAAGAACTGGGCCCACAACCACCAGACTACCCTCCAGAAAATCTCTCAACTCGAAGGGAAAGGAAATCCGAAGGGCGTGACTTATTGAAAAATATCGAATTTCATCTACAGTTTTCAACGAGGACAGAATAATCCATAGCTTTATTTAACTTTTTCGGTTCTTTGAATTGTGCTAGTGCATTTAGTGTTATCGAAAAAACTCTTCACCAGATGAGAATCAATTCGAATTTGATTAACATAATAATCCATCACATAATCCATCATAACCACACTAATCCACACAACCATCATAACCACACATAATCCATCACATAATCCATTTAGCAATCCAAAGTACAATTTCCTTTTAGACAACCACTGAAACAACCACAAAACCCCCACTGACCACGAAGAAAGCCCCGAAAACGACGAAGAAACCAAAGAAAACGACCACAATGCCCATTCCATCAACAACAATAACTGATGAAACAACAACAAATCATATAAACATTTCATTTTTTATTTCATTGATTGCTTTAATTTTACGAATTTAACCTTAGATTTTTGCTTGGATTTATGTGAATAGTTTTTTGTTATAGTGCTGAATATCTTGTGTTAAAGCCTATATAAGGCAACTGTTGTTCATTTGATGTTTTTCTTTACTTTTTTATGCACTAAAAGATTGTTAGTAAAAGAGCATTGTGGCGAATAGCCAATAAAAAGTTACCTAACTCTGACAGCCTAAAAATTGGAAAAGTATTGCGGAAATCCGTGCGCCTTCATTCTATTTCGCGTCTCAAATCATTTATTGTTTTGTAGCTTGTTAGCTGAATATCTTATGTTAAAGCCTATATAACGCAACTGTTGTTCATTTGATCTTTTTCTTTACTTTTTTCTGCTTTCCTCTCATTTGTGTGAAAGTTGTGTGCTAGTTAGGACGAAGTTGTTTCTGTTTTTATCGTCGCTTTTAATTCAATTGTCAATTTTGTGTGAAAATTGCTCAAGTGAGAGCCCAAAAATTCAGATGAAGTTGGCTATTGAATAAAGTGTTTTATTGGGTTGTTATGTTAACTCTACAGTTATGAATGCGCGTTTTTACTATTTTGTAAATTTCTCAACATATCGAACAGAAGTAGATGAGTGTTATATATCATTTGAAAGCTGAACATCTCTACATTTTGGAATAAAAAAGTTTTTGAATTCATCCAACTTTTTGGGAAATTGACTGCACAAAGGGAGAGGTCGTTTTCGAAAAAAACCCATTCCAGCTTAGCTATTCCTCAAGTTTTATGGTGTAAAATAATGATAAAAAATGATCAAAATCGACTTGGAACCATCAAAATCCCTGCTTGCCCTGTTTTATGGTGTAAAATAACCGCCCAGAAAAGAAATGAAAAGTAAAGATGCTCTGAAATTGTTATATTTTTTAAAAAGTTGTATTGATATATCTATTGGCCAAACATCAAACGGTTAACTCAATTTGAGCGGAGCCAAAACTTGCTCCAAAGGCACCCTTCCATTTTTGGCCACATCTTCTTCTGTGCAGTCAATTTGCCCAAAAGCTGAACAAATTCAAGAATTTTTATATCAAAATGTAGAGGAGATCTTCAGCTTTCGAATAATACTCATATATATCTTTTTCTTGATTTCGGTATCTTGAGAAATTTGCAAAATAGTAAAAGACGCGCATTCATAACTGGGCAACCCAATAGTCCAAGTGAGATCAGATATCTCGAAACAAGAAATAACGTGTCTTGAGTGAAGAGTACCAAGCACGCAAAGAATATTTCTTTACAAGCATTTACTATTAGCTTGGCAAATATGAAAGGTTATTTTTTGCAAAAAATATTGTCCTGTCGTTACGAAGGACATTCGCTGTCTAGAATTTTTCTCAATAATATGTCAAAATGTGCTCATGTTTTTTTTGCAAAAACCTTTTGGTTTTGAACAATATTTGTATTGTTCCAGCTCGGCAAAGATGGATAACCAAAAATTTAAAATCAGGGCCACCATTTTCTTTGAATTCAAGTTAAACAAGAAAGCTACGGAATGCCATCAGAACATTTGTACTGTTTTTGGAGAAGCTGCTCTTACTTTTGGCTTCAAAATTGGCTCATTTTGAAATATTAGATAAAGGAGACACTGTTGACGGAAGACTTTATGCAGAACAAATGGGTCGAGTCGATCCAGCATTGAGGAAAAAGAAGATCAATCCATCGAAGGTCAGATTTCTTCACGACAATGCTAGGCCTCACATTTCAAAGATCGTCCACGAACAAATCGACAAGTTGAGCTGGAAACTTCTTCCACACCCACCATACAGCCCTGATCTAGCCCCATCGGATTACCATCTCTTTCGGTCAATGAAACAAGCAGTTTCTGGACAGCAGTTCAAACAAAAGCAGGACATCGAAAATTGGGTTGCCAACTATTTTGCCTCTAAAAATCTTCAATTTTACGAGGACGGTATTCGTGATTTGGGGCAACGTTGGAAAGAAGTTATTAATGCTTCTGGTGAATACATTTGATGTTGAAAGTGTTTAAATAAATTTTTCTGTTATGTTAAAAATGATCAAACAAATAACCTTTCATATTTGCCAAGCTAATATATTTCTTTTTATTGAAATCATTTCAGGCATTTATGCTAGAAATTATTGATTTATAAGAAATCTATTTACTCAGATTTTCCGTATGATTTGAGTCTTCATTGGTATCAACCCGGCAAGTTAGAACACTAATGAACAACTTGCCTAACTGATACTTTTAGAGTCGACAACAATCACCGATACAAGCAACAGTCAATGCCCGAGATAATCGAACAGATGAACATTGAAAAATCATTTTAACAAAATAAATCTCTCTGTGTCTCTCTCGATTCTTTCAAAACTTTAATTAATGTATTGTGCTTTAAATTTTCTTTTGAGTTATTTGTACGAGTTGGCACGTGTGACTGTTCACAATTTACCCTTTTATGAAAGCAATGATCAAAATGTTATTGAATTTCCTCGAATATTCTTGTTTGATGATTGACTTGTGTTAATTAAAAGTTTTAATAATAACTTTCTATTGGACTAATTAACATTTGAACAAATTTTCAGGGTTCCATCTCAGGGAAAGAAAAGTAACACAAGTCAATCGTCAAACAAGAATATTCGCCAAAATACTTAAAGGATCTAATTATCAAAATTCGCAAACTGAAGATGAAACTAATGAAAGTTATTGTGTGAATGGTGAGATTTACTGATCACTGAATGATGAGATTTTTGGATTGTTATTAAAGGAACAAAGTTATCTCTTTCAATCTAGCGATACGTGTTTTTTAGACTTTCGTGAAAAGAGGAAGGAAAATTTGAAGAATGATAACACACCGAACGGTTGACCGATTACCGGTTTTGTGGCTGGAACGCCCAAAAGGATTGATATAAAAGCGGAAAATTGGAGAAGAGATAAGATCGGCGATCTTTCTTTTTTGCGATAAGATTTTGCTCTTTTTCAGCTATCGGTTTTTGATCAACAAAAGTTGGAAATTGAAAACACCTTGCTGAAAGAGAACAATAATCTTTTTGAATATTGTCTAATAAATTTATTTTTTTTCTAAATCTTTATTTAGGATGAAGAGCATCCTCATCTTGGTCTTCTTGGCCACCCTTGCTGTGGTCAGTTATGCGGATGATGCGGCAGGCGAGGAGGTGGGAAAGATTGAACAATGGACATTGAATTACTAGGGTTCCTTAAGAGTTTAGATCGTATTATAGATCATCTAGGCGATCACAAAATCCTTTTGGCTTTATAGGCTTTAGGCTCCTTTAAATTGCTTAAGCGGTATTCGAAGAAACTTCATATGTTTAGATTGTCGAGGTCGACAAGCTATCAACCGACATTCAAACCGATCTTGGAGACGACACGGAAGACTTCAAGAAATTCCACAAAAAGTGCAGTTATTAAGGCTTCTTTATTTTAGCATATGTTTAGATTCAACAAACGATTCAAGAAAAAGAACATGAAGAAATTAGCCGCCAACTTCAAGAAAAACAACAAGAGACTGAAAGCCTTGCAAGAAAAGGCGAAGGGGAAGAAATTCAAAGTGAAGATGAACGAATTCATGCACATGAGCCCTGAAGAGTTCTCGGAGGTTTGTTAGAATGACAAAAGTTATTTTTATATTACTCACAAGGAAATGCCAACCGGGTGTGTTGGCCAAATGACAGAACCCATATACTAGTCGATGCAGAATTTTACGCTGATTCCTAATTTGCTTTTCGTTATTGCTAAATAGCACTCTGTCAAAAGTTAAAAGCGCTCAATGTTTTGTATGGAGTTTTAATAATCATCCTCGGAGTTTATAAGCAGATTTCCCAGAGACTTTAAAAAGCAGTGGTGGCCGAGTGGTAGTGGGTTAGAATGCCAGGCTCTCGAGTTCGAAACCGCAGTTCTTTTTGTTTTTTTAGAGGTAATTAATCTTCATTTCAAATACAAATCTTTTTCAAGCTTCTTCTCATAAAAATCTTTACTTTTAACTATTAGGGTGATGCAAAAGAAACTGCCGATTTGACGGTAAATTCAAAAAAAGATGGCGTTCGATGGTGACATGATCACATGATTTTTTTTTTGATGATGATTTTTCCAATATCTTTCCAATATGGTTCCTATTTTAATTCAGTACGGTTTCAATACGGTTCCTATTTTGATTCGGTTCCCATACGGTTCCAATACGGTTCCTATTTTGATTCGGTTCCCATACGGTTCCAATACGGTTCTCATTTTGATTCGGTTCCAATACGGTTCCAATACGGCTCCAATACGGTTCCAATACGGTTCCTATTTTAAAAAACGGAAAGCAGATTCGGAATCAGCGTTAAATTTAGCGTCGAATAGTATATGGCTCGTGTCATTTGACCACCACACCCGGTTGGCATTTCCTTGTCAGAAATATATAAGCCAATGTCATGAATCAAATATATGCGTAAATTTTGTTTTAGCAAGTGCTGTTGAAGGAGGAGGATCTAAAGTTCCATCCCGAGAGCAACGCCATCGATCACAAAGTATTAAAGATTAATTAAGATTTAAAGTTGTAGTTGTTTTTAGAAAGCTAAAAAGTTGAGAGAGTTCAAGAAAGCGGCAGTGAGAAGGGCAAAGAAGGGAAGAAAGAATCACCCGAAAAAGCTGAAGAAAGTCGAGAAACGAGCGGTGGGTTTTTGTGGGGCTATTTTCGTTTTCTTGAGAACTATTCTAACTTGATCAGCTTGATGGTCAAGTATTTTTAGTTCGAATTCAGCTTAAAGCAAACTAAAGTTTCATTTGCATTGTTGTAATCAACTAGCGTCCGTTCTGAAATCGGGAAAGTTTAGGCAAATACCACCGACAACCTCTCGCAAACCGAGATCAACGAAATCACTGCAATGCTGAGACAAATGGGATTTACCGGCGAGGTAAATTTTGGGTCAAATAATGATAGATCCACCTTGAAAGCTAAAAGTTGAGAAAATGGACTTACCGTAATAATTCTAATAGAAGACCAGTCTCTAATAGAAGACCAGTCTCTAATAGAAGACCACCCCCCTGACCCCTTGAAATCGGGACTTTTTAAAACTTCTTTTTAAGTAGAATGATAGATTTCGGTCCAGATAGTAATATTTTAGCCTCGGCAGTTAAATTGGAGACGTAGTTTTTGAAAAAATTAAAAAATAACTTTTTGGAAAAAATTTTATGTGGTCCCCCACATGGATTTTTTTGAAAGATTTTCTATGGAGTCCGGGCAAGAAAATAATTTCACTTTTAGACATGTTTTTGGCATGTTTTGGGCCAAGGGCTATCGTTTGAAATAGTTTTTAACAATTTTTAATTTTTTGATTTATGTAGGGGACCCTTACCTACTTTTTTGACCGATCAATTTTGGGGGGTTGAAAATTAGAAGACCATGGTCTTCTATTAGAATTATTACGGTACTTCCAAAGCTTTAAACCCGAACACATATTCTGCATTTAGATCGTCTTCAGCGAGGAGGAGCTGAAAGAAGATCCAATTGTGCCCGATCCAACCCAGGATGAACCTCTTCCTGGAGGCTTTGATTGGAGAGATCAAGGAGTGATAACACCAGTGAAAGATCAAGGTGGGCTATCGTACACGAATGTCTTCAAGAAATTATACTTTAGGCAGTTGTGGAAGTTGCTGGACCTTCAGGTGAAAAAACTTTACTTTGGATACTTTTTCTGGTGGCTTTCTGGTGGCTTTCTGGCTTTCTGGGTAATTCAGTGGTAAAGCTGAAACAATGAATCTATCCGAATTTATTAACATTTTGAAAGCTGGTCTGTGTTCATGAGAATTTTCAAAGATTTATCGATGCAAAACAATCTTTTAGTGCTGCTGGTATTCTCGAGGCGCAACACGCGCGTAAGTACAACAAAGAGTTGATCGACTTGGCCGAATATGTGAGTGATGCTGTCGAGTGGTTTTGAAAGCAAAATTTTCAGCAAATGACTTGTGTTTATGGTGGAACGATCTGCAAGGGAGGTGCCTCCGAGGTTGCCTTCGAGTAAGGGATATTCAAGGCGCCTACTACTTTTAGCTTGTAAACTAAGTCTTAATCCTTCCTTAAATTGCTGATATCTCAGCGTCGAATCAGTATATTTGAATGAAATTTTAAACGGATTATTCTCAAAACCTTAGAAGCTTGATGCCAAAATTATACAGTAATTCGGCGATTCGTGACCAAGTTATAGCAAAAAGACTGTGCGAGGGCAATTTTTTATCTTTGATGCTAAATTCAAAAATACAAGCATATGAGGAAACAATACAAATTTTGTTCTATTACATTTAAAACTAGAGTAATGTGTTTTTTTGTTATAACTTGGCCACTAATCGCCGAATTACTGTATACGGAAGAAATCGTTTAGTATTTGGTAGCTTGAGACTCATTCATTTAGATAATGAAATGAAGAGTGCAAGACTTCGTACTCAACATAATATTAGACAATTGACAGATTATTCTAAAATACTAAAAATTGTTTTAAAAGGAATTTGGTTTCAATATGGTTCCAATATGGTTCCAATATGGTTTCAACATGGTTCCTTCCAGGAATTTGGTTCCAATATGGTTCCAATATGGTTCCAATATGGTTCCAATATGGTTCCAATATGGTTTCAACATGGTTCCTTCCAGGAATTCGGTTCCAATATGGTTCCAATATGGTTCCAATATGGTTCTAATATGGTTCCAATATGGTTCCTTCCAGAAATTTGGTTCCTTTCCAAATATGGTTTATTAGTTTGATTCGAATTTCTTTATTTTTACTGAATAACAATTTAGAAAGATTAAAATTTTTCAGATATTACAAGACTCATCCGGGAATTGGTCTCGAAAAAGACACACCCTATCCAGACCCTCCCGCCTCAGGCGATATGAGTTGCAAAGCCAAGGTTTTTAAATCAAACAACTGTTTTCATAGACTCAAAATGCTCAGTTCAATTCTGAGTGAAATTTCAGTGGAAAATCTGTGATTTAAAATTGAGTCGATTTCTTAACTTCAGTGAACCCTTTTAGCCACCAACTCCGAAAGTCACCGTCTCTTCTCATATCTCTTTGCTTGGATCAACGGTCGACGAAATCAAGGATGCCCTGATCACCGATGGACCGATTGGAGTCGGTAAGTCTATCATTTTTTTTGTTTAAATATTAAATACTTAGGAATTGTGGTCAACTCGGAGTTCCAATACTTCGGAGGTGGTATTTTTGATGCACCATGTAATGCAACGAATGCCCTCGGAGGTCACGCTATGATCATCACAGGATTCGGTTGGTATTATACAGTTAAACCTTTATATAACGATAGCCAAGGAATCGGCTGTTACTATTGTTATATCCAGGTTATCGTTAGATTGAGGTTTTGTTATATATTTAATTATAAAAAAAATTTTTTGAAAATTTTTTTTTGGGAAAAAAATTAAAAAAAAAAAAAAAAAAAAATAAAATATTTTATAAAAAAAAAAATTTTTTTTTAAAAAAATAAAAATTATAAAATTTTGTTGAAAAAAAAAAATTTTAAAAAAAATATATTAAAAAAAAAAGAAATAAGAAAAAAAAAAAAAAAAAAAAAAAATTTAAAAAAAAAAAAAAAAAAAAAAAAAAAAAAAAAAAAAAAAAAAAAAAAAAAATAAAAAAAAAAAAAAAAAAAAAAAAAAAAAAAAAAAAAAAAAAAAAAAAAAAAAAAAAAAAAAATAAAAAAAAAAAAAAAAAAATTTAAAAAAAAAAAAATATAAAAAAAATTAAATTTAATTTTAAAAAAAAAATATATTAAAATAAATGGGTTTGGGGGAAAAAAAAATATACAATACTGGACAATGAAATATCATATTTGAAAAACGATCGTCACTTTCGCACGTCTGTAACTCCCTTGTCTTTGAGTTTAAACTATTAGTGTTATACATTTTCTGAAAACTCTTTTCAAGGGCTACACAATGGTAATATTAATATTTAGAAATACCGTATTTTTTGACGCATTTCAGCGCGCGCGAAAGTGACGATCGTTTCTTTAATATGATATTTCATTGTCCAGTACTGTAGAACTAAATAAAACTGATTTTCTTAACCAAATCGTTATAGAGGGCCTTTATAACAACAAAATATAAAGATTACAAGGTAATAGTTTGAAAAAAAAATGATTTAACGTACTTTGCTTAACAGAGTTCAAAGTTGTTTCAAAGAAAAAGTCATCAATAACAGTTAAAACACAAGAAACAGCACTATTTCCATTTTGCTTTGCGTATTTCTAGAACTTTGTATGTAGATTTGACAGAAAAGTGGATATAAACAGTATTGAGAAAGTTCTATGTTTTATAATATTTAAATTCAGAAGATTCTATTTAGGAAGCGAGGATGGAGTCGACTATTGGATAATCAAGAACTCGTGGGGAACCACCTGGGGAGAGGATGGATATGTTAAGGTGGGTTACACTATTTCCTTCAATTATTTGGCTAATTGATCTTTTTTATTTGTTTATTTCTAAATAAGATTAAATGATGCCTTTTTTTAGTTCAAAATGGGCTCCAATCATTGTGATGTCGAGTCGAGACGTCTTAACCAAGCACAAATCGTTTAGAGAAACAATTACAATAAATTCATTGACAATGAAAAATGATTTCAAATGCACCATATCATTAGCGCTTTCAGGATTTTGACGTCAGTCTTTTTTTATTTTTTAAAGAATTTTTTCAAAGTCAAAGTTGTCAAAAGTTTCTTCAAAGTGACATAGCCAATTAAGAGAAGCTTGTCATATTAATTTTAGCTCTCGAAATGAAAAATTGCTTTCTACGAACGGGCCCGCTTGAGAGAATTTCATTTGTGTTTTTGGTTCACCGTGGAAAATGTGAAGAGAGGGCTCAGTTGCATTGGGTTGTAATGAGTCAATTTCAAACAGAAATACAGTTGACTCTCTTTATAACGGAACTCTATAGCGGAAAACTCTATATAACGGAATGGAATTTTGGTCCCGGCCGACGCTAACCTATATAAAACGATACTCTATATAACGGAAAGCTCTATATAACGGAAAGCTTTACATAACGGAAAACTCTACATAACGGAAAGTTCTATATGACGGAAAGCTCTATATAACGGAAAGCTTTACATAACGGAAAGCTCTATATAACGGAAAGCTTTACATAACGGGAAGCTCTATATAACGGAAAGCTTTACATAACGGAAAGCTCTATATAACGGAAAGCTTTACATAACGGGAAGCTCTATATAACGGAAAGCTTTACATAACGGAAAAATCATTTGGTCCCTTCCATTCCGTTATAGAGAGATTCGACTGGCTTTATTCAATAAAGCCATCTAAATCCATCAAAATAGTTTCCGTCTTTTTCAATAAACATTTTACTGGTAGAAGGCGAATTCCTTTCCCGTAAGAATTCGTTACCTAACAGTTTTATGGAAAACTCGTGGAGATTACTATGCTTTTGAAGCAAAGAGCTTCGAAGAATTCAAATATTCAATCAATTTGACCAATCAATTCATTGACAAGAATCAATATTTTGTGATATTGAATCCGCTTCTTTGATCTCTTTGAAAACCGCGTCACTGAAAGTTTGTAAACTGATTAACGGTCACAATTCGTTTTGATCAAAAGACCAAAATTTCTTTCTTTCACCTGTCGCCTCTCATTCGCCTGAAAGCGAAAAATTTTAGCATTTAAGACTACAAAAAGAATATTTACAAATTCTTACATGTCCTATCAATATCCGTATATTTATATCTGTTTTCTTCGTATTTTCGGAAGCATAAGTCTCACCTGGAATCTCTTTGTTGTTTACGTGATTCTGAAGGCTAGTCCGAAGGATATGCACACCTATATACCGTACATTTTAAGCTATCAGGTATCTATATGAATGAAATAAACAATGAATGGTTTCCTCAAGAGATCGTCATTCATTTCTGTCATCTTTTCATCATTCTTTAGGTATCCTCGATGAGCCACGAGCTATTCTTTCATATTGTCGGCTTTGTGCCATTTCTTCCAGTGACAGCGATGAAAATGCTCACTGTTTTTCCGATCACTAGCCCCGAAGTACCGAAAATTTGCTTTGTGGGGGATTCGCATTATTTTCTTTCCCGAAAAATCTTGCCTTAAAAAGGCTGGCCTGAAAAAAGAATCATTTATATTATAAGGAAGGTGTACAGAAACATGTGCTTTTGTTTTAAGATGAGCTAGATTGTCATCGTTCGATTTTATTCTCATTCGAGTTCATATTATCATTCTTAAGCCTCTCTTCCAATCGTAAGAAGAAAGGATTTCAGTAGAAATTTGTCGCTGAACGATATCGATGAGCTAATAAGCACATCAATTATTTCCTTACTCTTTTCCTTCAATTTAATAAGTATTAGGTTGGCCGATAAGTCTTTGAGCACTTTTGCATAAATCTGTTTATAAATGAAAAGTTCGAGAATTGATCTACGGTTTACTTCAAATAGAAGATGTTTATTATCGACGTTTCCTATCATTTTAGACAAATCTGGGCCCTAAAACCCGAGCAAAAAAACTTGTTTTGCGTAAAATTCGATAAAAGAAAATATAAAGAAATTAGCTAAACAGATTGTTCTGAAAATTTGGCTATAAATCTAAATTTTTGTGCTCTCTCTTCTTTCTATTGACATCGAAATTGGTTCCTATTGCTGAGTGGATGATGATCGGGGATAATCTGTGCGTATCGGAAAAGAAAACAGCGAGATGTGAAGAGGAGCATCAAAAAGATTAGAATCGTTGCGATTACCTAAAATAGCGGTTAGGTTAGCCGATAAGTCTTTGGAAATTTCATTTGACAAAGCTATTTAGAAACTAATTCACCTATTGACCTACAGTTTTCTCTATTAGAAAAGCCTGATATTTTTCTATAAAAGATCGTTCAAATCTTAAGAAATGTTGTGCAGAAAAGTGGCTCTTTTCTGTAGAATCTTATTTAATGTTTTGATTTGAATGTCTGATTCTTTTGTCCCGCCTCTAAAAGATCGCTTTTATGATAAAAGGGACGGAGCCCACTTTGTATTGTCTCTTCATATTGTTTTTCGTATTGCTATGAAACACTGAACCAACTATAGATTCTATTTTATTGTATTTTCTCGCTAGATTAGTATTGTGTTAGATTCGGAATAAATATCTAATAATCATTGCCCCCAGCGGTACTCTCTCACACACTGCACAAATGTCTTGTTTCTGGTTTTTTCGTTCGGTGATGTGAACTCGGTCAGTCAAAAAACGACTCGATTACGCGCTTTAGACACATTAGCTCAAAGACATATTCGTGCTTTATTTTGCATTTTATGAAATAAACTTGATCTTTTCGAAAAAGAAAATAACTTTGTAAGTAGCACACAAAGTATGGAAAAAACTGTGAAATAATACAATCCTGATAATCTGCGTTGATCAAGTAAATAAGCTGCGTATACCCTACTAAACCCAACCATCAGAAAGTGATTGACTATCAGTTTAACGCTATTCGCGTGCTCGGATCATTCAGTTCGACTGTGGACTATGAATTCAATCAAACTTTTAACCCAAAGCACAAGCTTTCCTTCAAATATGAACATTCAACATTGGCAGAAAGAGTGAACACAAAAAGAGGAACTTTTGCGCAAATGTTTGCTGCATTCTAGTTTGAAGATAAGGATAAAAATGAAGCAAGGAAATTTAAAAAAGCGCTTTCAAATTCAAAAACTATTTTTGCAACGGGGAAACAACACAATTCTCTTGCAACACAATTTTCACTTTTGAAAACAACTTCTCTTATCAAACTTTTTCGGGGCACCCAAGGCTGATCCGTATCAGTATGACTTTTTTATTTTACGAAATAAAATTTCTGACTCAAAAAGCCAAACGTGAACAAAGTATTACTCGTGAATAATATTATCGCTTTCTCTTAGCTAAATTCAACTCAAAAATTTCAATATTATTAAGGTGCGTTCCGAATTTCTTGTCGCTTTAAGTTTTTCAGGACTTTTTGTTTTATTACATATGTCTAACTGCAAATAAAGTTGAATGTTTTAGTAAAGGACACAAAAGTCGATGTACCGTCAAGTTGAGAAGTCAGAAATCGATGTCGAGAAATTGTATCGCCAAGTTGTGGATGAGGGGGAGCAAGAGAAGGAGAGGGGAATCTCTCGGAAAGAGTCCTTTCTTCGCGTCTCACTTTTTACCGCTGTTCTCGTCGTGATCGTCGTCATTTGGCTGTTTCTGACGATTTTCGCAAATGTCGAGATCAAATAGTGTATGCCGATTAAACCTATGCTTCCGACAGTTTTGCTTAGATAAAAAAAAGTGATTCATAAAAAAATGAACCGAGTACACAGCCAACGATCAGAATTCACTTTAAATTAAACTCGAGACTTTTCAGTGGCATGAACAACAGCACATCGACGAACGACGAGCTCGAGACGTTGCTGAAAACTTGCAGGAATCTCGCGTCAGTTTACTTACTCATTAAAAATTTACACGAAAAAAAGTTTAGATTGCACCTCAAGACGCGAATCAACGAAACGTAAGGGCAGAAATTCGAATATGTGTTCAAGGGTTGCACCATATTTGCTTAACGCGATTTGGACCGTAAAGAATTGAAAAATAGCTCATTTTTAGGTTTAAATCAATTAGACAAACGAATTTGCTATATTTTTCAAAATGAATTCTTCAAATGTGTTGCAAAAACGACCTCTCTTAATTCTTTGCGATTACAAGTCGGACGCTAATACACCAGAGAAGGGTAACTGGAAGTGCTAGCCAAATCACATGAGCCATCGACCATTCGACCCAGTATTTCACGTTGATCATGATGCTGCTTTTCTTTTTGCTATAGAACACTCTGTCAAAAGTTATAGGCGTTTAAAGTTTTGCAAGGGATTCCAAAAATCAAACCGAGAAATTACAACCTTGTCTTCCGCGGCCTTGACAGTTGCAGCGGTAGCCGAGTGATAGTGAGCCCTCGCCTTGCCTCCCAGCCTACTACCACTGGGCTACCCCTGCAACTGCTTTTGTAATGTAATAGACAAGGTTGTAATGTCGCAGGTTTGATTTTTGAAACTCCTTGCAAAACTCTAAACGCCTATAACTTTTGACAGAGTGTTCTAAAGCAAAAAAGAAAAGCAGCATCATGATCAACGTGAAATTCTGGGTCGAAAGGTCGAAAGGCTCATGTGATTTGGCTAGCACATCTAGTTGACCTTCCCTTGTAAGCCAAAACGATCAGACTTTAGTTTGGTTTCGGCTTTTAAAGAAGATCCCTTTATATGTAAGCAGTCTTTCTGAAAGCTCTTCTTTCAGAATTGATGCAAAAACCGAAAGCAAGGAGAAAAAGGAGTTTCGGGAGAAGGCCGAAAAGTAAGAGCCTCATCTGGTATCAACATTGGCCTATTTGTAGATTTGTGGATTGTGGACAACAAAGAAATCAGCTTTCTGATGGAAAGCCCGTGAAGGTTTAAACAGTACAATTTCAGCAACTCATAAGATCTTAGGAATTAGAGAAGAAGATCGAATTCCTCAAGACATTGCTCAAATCGAGTGAAGGTGGAGGGCAGGTGGAAGTGAACGTGGATCTCTCCTCGGGCAACACCCACTACTATTGACATTATCATTATCAAAAATCAGTCAGCAGTGTCTCGTGGCTGTGTGCCTTTTTCATTTCAACTCTGGTATTACTCTAAGCTCCCAATTCGCGATGCATTCTTTTTTCTAATTGTTCAAATTGCTTGCTCTTTGTTTTTACAAATTCTAAATCCCAATTCACAAAAGGCGTCTTTGCTTCTTTTAAAGACTTCCAAGTTGGAAGTGAACGTAAGTTTAGGTTCTTTCACTAAAGAAAATCAATTAACCCGGATAGATTTTTAAAATATCGAAAATATCCAGAAAAAACTGTCCTAGCACGTTGATCGTGTTTTTTTTCTTTGGCCAATTATCTTCTTCATTTGTTTTTTGTTTTTAAACATAAATGTTTTGAGACGAATCTGCTGCGCAACCACAAATTTGCCATCAATGATCTCTTACAAGCTACCTATATTAGCGTTGACAATTGTTTGTAACTTTTCGCCAGTTGCATTTTCGTATTTTTTAATTTTTGAAAACAGGAACCAGTACTTTACGACCTTGAAATTTTTGCTTATTTTTTGCTGTTTTCGCTTTCATTCAATCGTACGTAAGTATAAAATAACTGAGATTTAGTTTTCAGTCAGAAATGAAATTCATATTTTTACTCCTCGTTCTTTCTATTGGTTTCTGCTTTGGCAAAGCGCACAATGCTCATGCCAAGGGATTTGTGACATGCAATGGAAAACCCTATTCTGGAGCCGGAATCGGACTTCGAGTCTTTGAGTGAGTTCAAGATCGAGAAAAAAATGAAATATCAAGTATTGTATCGGCAAGAATTCAGAAAAATGTTCACTTCTTGTCTGACTGTGGAACTTTCTGCATATAAAAAACATTCTAGCGACTCAAACAGATCCACCTTCCAGTCTTATTTAATTCAAAACAGAGTCGTTTACCAGCTCTCAATTTTCAGAGCAAATCCCGACGATTACGAGAAGGCCGACACTAAGGCAGAGAATGTGGCCAGCGGAGCTGGTGGCCATTTCGAAATCGCCGGCTCTTGCTCGAAATGGGCCAAACCGCACTTCAAGATCACGATTTCTCATGATTGCCATGACCTGGTCGAAGTTTTTACCAATTCAAAAAGCAATTCCCGAAAGAGCCGCTTAAAAGCCGAAACATAACAGAAAAAGTATTTTTCAATGAGTTGCCAGGTTTTTTAAGGACTGGTTTCAAAAAGCGACAATCTTTCTTGCTCTCTATTTACTAAAACAAGAAAAACAAGAAATTTCAGACTGAAACAGACACTTTGAACTGTGGGAAGTCGATTGAAATTCGATTTGCCGGATGATTCCCCAGAGAGTCTCTATGATGCTGGAGAGCTCAAATTGGAGGCCATCGAGGTGCTCAATTGGATGTGTGGAGGGGCTATGCTACCACCAGAAGAATCAACACCGGAAGCCCCACAAGAAGAATGAGCAGGCCAATTCCAATATTCATCCACATAAAGAACAATTCATTGTTGAATAAATTTTTTCCAGATCTTTCAATGCTTTTCTATTCTTGTCTCCAATTCTACAATCTTGTGAATAATCGAAATTTTTGAAAAACATTTCAATTGTTGAATGATGGTGTTGAAAACGGTTCAACTGTTTCAACAAAAATTTGAGTGCAAACTTTGATTAGATAAGATATCAATTAAATATTGAAATTTGAAAAAAAGCGAATTGAACAGAGACTGGAAAAGAGAAAAAAATTGAAAAAATGGGCATTTGATTGAGCCAAAAAAGTAAAATAGATTTAAAATCGAAAAGAAGAAAAAGGAAACATTGCAATACTTGATTGAGATGAATTAAAACGCAAACAGAGAGAGGAAAGGTTTGTCCGATGTCCGAATGTCCGATTTATTTAAAATTCAAACTAAAATTTGCCTAGAATTTCACAAAACTCTCGAATGTTCTTTTGTTCATGTAGTCGACGAAAGCTTCCCAATCGACACGAGTATATTCATGGGTTTAGTGCCTCTATGTGTTTGTTCTAAAAAGGACTTAGAATTAGCCCCAAGAACATAAAAAGTTTAAGGATTTGTTGAAAAGGATCTTGTTGATATCCTCAAAGCTTGAATCAATATCAAAATGCGATATCAAAATGTTTAGGTAACCACAGTTGGATTCGACTTGTCAAAGTTTACTTTTTCGTATCAAACGGACAACCTGGTGCAATATTAGCAAAAATTTTGGGTGGATGAGTCAAGGAAATCCAAAGTAAATTACATTCAGGCACTAGTTGATTCTGGGATGATCGATTATACAAATATAAGCCATGCTGTCAGCTTGGCTTCAGGATAAAACTTATCCTTCAACGAGCATTTCTTTCATTTTGCTGATCTTAACACGGAAAACACGGGAGTTCAGATAATTTTGGTACTCTTTACAAGATTTTGGATATTTTGGTGCTCTTCATCCCTGCAAAAAAAGACACTTTGAATCAATGAAGTTATACGCCCACTAAACAAACAAATTAGCATATCTTTTTTACCAAATATTCTTACCTAAACCATCAATTAAGCTATTAAACTTTACCTACGTTTTGCTTTGATTTCATTTGATTTTAATTTTAATTTTAATGCAACCTTTTTTTGCGGTAAGAATGAATTTATCGTGAATAGAGTCGATTTCTCTTTTTTTGTGGGTTTAACTCCATTGGTGCTAACTTTTTAGAGGAAATTTTGCCTAAATTTACCTCAGTCCGTCCCTCTTTCGACAGCGTATTCCACGGCATTCCGAGACTGAGCGAGTGATTCCGAGCTCTCGCTTCATTCACAATGTCGTTCACATCACGATTCTTTGTTTCTAAACCATAAATTTGGTTTATTTTGGAAGGTGATAGTAGATCAATCTTCAAGAAATGAAGCCAAGTTCGTTAAAGTTTTAGGAAAATAAATCTAATCATTTGTCTCGTATCTCGTACCGGGTAGAATGAAGTAGAGAACGACAATCGAGATACAACTGCCCACAATGAAAGGCATGTAGCTGAACGTGACACCGACCATCTGAATGTGATTTAGGCTAGTGCAAGACAAGTAGCATCTGGATTAGGTCAGTTCGTAATTTGTATTGTATTGTATTGTAATTTGTAAGATTAGTGCAAATAAAAGAAACTGACAAGGGAAAGGCAACAGTAGGATGTGGCCAAATGTGATGAATCATCGCAGAATTTCATGCTAACTCCGAATATTTTCAAAAGCAAAATATAAAATAAAAATAAGAAATAAAAAATAGTTTTAAAGCCAGATAAAATTCAAGTCTTAAAAGATGAAAACGCAAACAAACGTTTTGCCAAAAAGGAATCGTACACGAGCAAAAAAAATGGAGTGATCGTTTTGTATGCCAGCGTTTTATCCACTATACTACCATCACGCTTAAGGCCCGTAAAAGAACCCTTATAAAGGCACCTATTTGGCTCCAAATTTTTGCCAACTTAAAACACGTGTAACGTCTCATAGAAAGTGATTTTGCAAAGACGGAAAGCAGATTTGGAATCAACGTGAAATTCTGCGTCGAGTGGTCTATGACTTATCTCATTTGACCACATCTAACTGTTGCCTTTCCCTTGTAAGCTTTGCTTAGTTCTCGTGCAGAAAATATTGGCCAATTCACTACTCACAATCAGCAGTTTAGATGTATGGTGATTGTTTTTGCTTGAAGTTTTCCTTGCAATCCATATTACGAAAGAAATTTAAGTACTTCAACTTAGTTACCTGTTGAAATGGTAGATACGCTGATGAGATAATCATCGTCATGAAGAAAGCGACGAAGACCGAGACCGTGACAGCCGTTGAACGGAACTGAAAACGATTTTGGGATTCAAATTTACTTGAAAAATTCTGCGAATTCTTTAAGGCAAGCATTAAAAGTTCGAATCAAGCGAAATCTTACATGTTGATTGAAAAGCTCTCCGGTGATCATCCAGGGAATCGGCGAGCCGACCCCATACACGCACATGTACAAAACGAGAGCGCCGATCGTTCCGTAGCTTGCCCAAGTCGCCTAAAACAAAGCCGTACTTTCAAAAATGACACTAAGTTTAGATTTTCTAAGCTTCTAAGTCAAAACAAACGTGGACTCACTTGTCCGTATTGTTGAATTCCTGTGAACAGAGTGAGCAGCGATAAAGCGATGAGACAGGAGATCAACTAAAAAGGAGTTGATATAAAAGTTTATTCTACGAGTTTACAAGTTCTTGTACTTTAGGCTCAACATGGAAACACACACCATCTGGTGGATTGAATTCTTTATTAGTGCGCCAGAAAGAAAGGAAACAAAAATGCTTTGATACTCTGTGCACAAAAATGGAAATACATCCTGTCTGCAGCACTTAATCGCATTAGTTTGCTATCGAAAACTTTATCGAAAACCTTTTATTTATTCAATTGAACTCACTTGGAATAGAGAAAGTGGCCTTCGCCCAACTCGATCAATCAACAAAGGAGCCGAACAAGCGAACAAAAAGTAGACTACACCGATAGCCAGCGTTGCGTAACGAGCTGTTTGTCTAAATTTCATTAATTAAATATAATTTTATGAAGTTTATATGACTCTTTCTTGAAATTTAAAAGAATAAGATATCTACTCAATACAGAAGCCATCTTTTTGATCTTTTAGCGGCTGCAAAATGTTTCGATGCTCGTAGGTTTCTTGATAGATAGACGTTGGCACTACAAGCTACAAACACTTCTAACTTGCTTCAACTCTGCCGGATTGACATGATCTATAGCTCATATAATAGAGAATTTCAAGGGCCTTCGAATGGATCAAAGCACGCCCAAAGCTACCAGTGCTAAAGAAAGTCACAGTGGTTTGTAGTCCTAGTGAACCGTACTTGCACTTAGTTGAAGCGATCGAGTCGTTTGCAGTTTGTCATTTTTGTAATTTATACTACCAATGTCTCTTAGTTACTTAATTCCTAAGAATTCAAGATTCCAGTATTCCTTTATTGATTAGATATCATCAAGTCCAAGCTCACGGATCAAGTTTCGCGTTGATAAACATATCAGTCGAGTAAGCAAAGACAGCTGTACATCCGGTGAATTGTTGAGCGACCATGACAAGAAGGGAAACGAGTAGGGGAAGACGGAGCTTCTTGCTCGTAAAGAGTTCCCAAAAAGAACCGGATCGACTCTAGAATGAAGCAATATTCACTTCTGAATATGAAGATTTACTTTGTCTCGTGCGCTTTCTCGGATGAGTTCGTTGAAGACGGGTTTTGCTTGTTTCTCACCAACCAAAGCAACAATTGAATCATAGGCACCTTCTCGATTTCCACGGGTCACCAATAGATACCTGAAGAATAAGGTAAAGAAATGAATGGCAAAGAATTCAGAACCGAGGGGGACTTGAACTCTGACCTTCTGCTTACCGCGCAGAGCTATTTGCACACCTTTGCCCAAGAAGAAATCAGAAAGACAAGGAAGAGAAAGAAAGGAAGAAAGAGAAGGATAAATAAATCTTTGAGGCTTAGTTTAGCCAAATCTTTAATAATTTAGTGGACCAAAAGTCATGAATTTTCCTGATTTTCCACTTCTAGATCTCAATCACTTTTGCTTAAGTTCTGTGCCCAATAACAGCTTTAGCAGATTCAAGAAATATGCAAATGAGTGGTCATTTGGCTTCCAAAGCCTCAGTTCCCATTTTTTTTTGCTTACTTTGGAGATTCAGGGCAAAACGGTAGGATAAAACAGAGAGCCAATGCTGGGATTCCTGGGAGGGCAAATGCGATCGGCCACCAAATTGATCCACCAAGTACCTAAAAGTTAAACCTATCCTATTCAATTTTATCTTGTAAAACTTGTAAAATAAGCTTCTGAACTTTGCAAATGACTCAAAAATATAAAAACAAACTTCAGGAAGTCCAATGAGCAACGAAAACCAGTCAGAGAATGAGACGGCCACCTGGAAGCCATTTTTGTGAAAAAACAATACTTGGAAACTGGTAAATTTATCGAGCTGATAAAGTGGAAAGTTTGGGAATCTTTCAAATTCAATTACGAACCATATGCAAAGTTCCAGCGGCTCCTCGATATTTTGTCGGCGTCAACTCCATCAAATACATTGGAACGACCCCGGAAGTGAGTCCCATATTCGCACCAAGGATGAACCGACCAATGATCAACAATTCGGGAGAGCTGAAAGGTGAAACGAATAATGATTGAATAGCTTGTTTTTTTTTCAAAAAAAGAGTAATTTTGTACTGCTAAAGTTAGCCAGTTTTTGATCCCACCTAGCCGACCTGGCGATCAGCTCGCAAAAAGCACCGATAATGTTGAAAATCCCGTTGATAATGAGAGCATTCCGACGGCCACAGCGCTCAGAAAGAACCCTGAAACTTAACAAAATTAGAATAAAGTAGACTTGTAACGAAAACATCTGTCAATCCTTTTTTTGCCGTTGGCAATTTAAGGTGTTTCATGTTTTAACCAAAATTGACTTAAAATGTAATATCCTTGCAAAGTTATGTGGCTAAAAGTTAAGCCCATAATTGGACTAGGGGTTTAGAAACTTGAAAAGTCAAATATCTGACTTTGTTCAGGTTTTGCTCTAACTTTGCTTGACCTGGTTTTTTTCTGGCCTTGTTCTGACTTTGGTCTAACTTTGTACTGGCCTTGGCTTGGCCTCTTAATCTTGTCCAGATTCTCGATCTTGTCCAAGCTCAGGGTAGAGCCAAGTAGACTAGTAACGAAAAATCTGTCTATCCTTTATTTTGCCGTTTTTCGTGTTTTTTCCCAGCATCAACCCTTTGATTTTTGACTATTTTGATTATTATTTGATGCAAAATAAAATTGCGCGTCGAATGATACCAAAATAAACTCCAAATATAATATCCACGCAAAGTTGTTGGATAAAAACCTAAACCTCGCTCATTATGGGTGGGACTTAAACTTTTGCCTCATAACTTTGTATAGATATCACATTTTGAGTTGATTTTGGTATCATTCGACGCGCAATTTTATTTTGAATCAAATGATAATCAAAATAGTCTAAATCGAGAGGTTGTTGCTGAGAAAAACACAAAAAACCTTAAATTGCCAACGGCAAAAAAGACCAATAAATGTTTTGGTTACAATTTTAGGATAAAGACATGAAAATATTAATAAATTTATAGCGCTGGAACTGAGCAATTATAGCAGTTTAAATTATGCAACCAAACCAAAAACGTACCTGACAAGAAGAGCTCCAGCAAGTGCTCCCAACGAAATGCTGCCGACTACGAGAGCCCAAATGAGGTTGAGATTTGTCTGGAATTTGAAATATTAGGTAATCCATTAAAAACAAAAAGTTTAGCTTTTTTTCAAAGCGAATTTGATTTCTGTACTAACCTCACTAACAAAAGTGCCACTTCTTTCCATATAAGTGAGATTGATCCATTGGGCGATCAACCCCTGGCACGGGTTCACGATTCCATAGCTGAAACACAAAATGTGCAATTGTTGTGCAAAAAAAGCACAAAACAAAGTGCAATTGTTAAACAATTCTAATAAAAAGATTATAAAAAACTTCTAATATCAGTTGTTAAAGTTTGATTATATTAGGTTGATGCAAAAGTCTTTTTCATTTTTTTCGTACTTCTGTTAAAAAGTAACAAATTCACCAATTAATCTATAGTTTGCTCTATAAAAAAAGTGTTTTTTTGTTCAATTTGCATCTTTTTAAATGAATTTCGGTTGACTTTCAAGCAAATTCGAGAGTGAAAAACGCCTTTTTCGTAAAAATCTATAAAAAACTCTACGGAAAAATTGGCTGAATGAATTTCTCTGAAATTTTGGCGAAATATCAAACTTTTTTTTTCTATCTTTTATCTATTGACACGAAGATAGGTTTTCTTTAGCTAAGGTGTCTAAACCGCATCATCGAGTTAGCCCTTTTTGACTACCCGACTTCATACTCTCAAGAAAATCCAGCATTAAATATTTTTAAACCCGTTTTAATGTTATTTTGCAGAAAAATAATTCGTTTTTCTAATGAAATCAACCGTAGTTTAATTGGTGCATTTGTTGGCTTGAAACGGCAGACGAAAAAAATGAAAAAGACTTTTGCATCAACCTAATAGTTTTTACCTGTAAAATTGAGTGCTTCCGCCGAGGATCGCCGTGAGAATGGTGATGTAGTACCTGGAAAGATTGTTTTGACGCAAAAATGAAAATAGTTTTGTTAATTCTTAAATTTTGCATTACAAAAGGCTAAAGCTAAATAAATTCTTAAAGATTGTTTTCAAAGAAAGATCTCAAGTTGGAGTTGGAATTCGGGCAGAGCAAAAATGCCTCCGCCCGAACTCGAACCCGAGACCATTCGTTTACTGTGCTAACCATTACACCATAAAGCACTAGGTCTCCCTTACTCCAGAGGGACTTCATTAGCAAAAGGTTGTGAGTTCAAGTCCCAGTGGCGCACGAGTTTTTGATCTGCACTAGTTTCAACTTTGATGTCATTTTGTAGATCTCAAAAAGTGCAACAAAATGACACCAAAATCATAAAGATTGGCCCACTTAGAAGAAAGTTATGTTGCGCAAAAAGTTGCGCAAAAAATTTAGTTCAAAATAGCCACCCCTAAAAGTCAAGAGTAACAAGGGAAACAGAATCAATGTAAATAAAATTTTTCTTTAAATTCCTTTAACATTTAAAGTGTTGAAAAGCAAATCCGTTTAAATTTCGTTCTATCCATTTAATTCACGTTTAAATTTTTAGCAATGGTTGATTTTTAACTTAACTGAATAGCTTGTCTGAATATTTAATTTAACTAAATAGCTTATCTTATGTTTATACGACTTTTGGCAGGGTATATATCACTATATCACTATCACAAAGTCATAAGTACAGCCAAAAATGCGTGTACACGTTAAGAACAAGAAGTAGAACTAGAACTAGAACTAGAACTAGAATTAGAGCTAGAACTAGAGCTAGAGCTAGAACTAGAACTAGAACTAGAACCTATTTCTTGAATAAATCCCATTTACAATTCCAATCTTTCGGGTTTTCTAGATGCATTGGCTTTAAGAGCTTTCAAAACTGTCAAAAAGTCAAATTTTAGAACGAAAAACTTCCTCACTTTTGGTCAAAACACAAATTTGAGTAGAAATTGAAATCTCTTATTTCTAAGTTTATATAAGAATACCCGTGTTAAAGCTCTAGAACCAATACAATTCTTTGCTCTTTAACTATCAAATTGTGATGAAAATTTTCAAACTAACCTTGCTGTGCACATTCGAGAAGTTGAACAGTTA